TGGGTTGCTCACCCAATTTTGTCAATATAACGGAACTATAAACAACTTTCATACAAGCGAGAGGTTTAGCTAGCCATAAAACAAGGTTTAACCCATTTTCTTCGGAAAATGCCTGAACCAAGTCAAGAATATGGCAGTTGTTTTTCACTTGTTCCGTTGATTGATAGCGTTTGATGTTGTCCGTTTTTATGGACTTCCCCTTTTTGAATTGGCTTTTGAGTTCGGTATTTTTGTTGTACTTTTTAATAAGACTAGATAAAGTGTTAATGAGTTCAATAGAAAATCTGCTATCAACACTATTTTCCTGCACTCTTGGAGACTAAAAACAAAACAAACAAGCGGAACTATGAGATATTGTTCACTAATGATAACCTCGCTTAAATAATTCGTCAAAAAGAGTTGAATAGCAATGGATGTGAGAACCCATCACACGGTATAACATGTTCACACAAATGTTGATACCAAGTTGCAAGGTGCTCTTATTTTTGGATCCTGAGAAAAATGTGACGGAAATTAAAACATGGTCATTATGAATAAGAATATATCAATATTACAGTAAACAGGAAGTTAATGAGTAATGAATGTGAACACACATCACACAGTCTTCTAACATGATGTTTATATGAAGCATGAAAACAAATTTTACCAATCTCTTATTTGTAGTTCCCTAGAATAATGCGACAGAAATTTCATACATGGCTATTATATTTTAGAATATTTAAGTATTTTAGTTATCTATTAAGATAAATTTAAAACACATTTGTAGTCTTATTTCTAGCGTACATTGCAGCGGGGATCAATTCAAAAATTAAAAAAAAAAAAACAAACGAAGAAACAAGCGTCATCCATAATTGCATGTCTTTGGTTTATCTGTATATGATAAGTAAAATACATAATTCATCATTGGCACGATTTGTGTGGATTATTATACACGATCCCAAGATAAAGACATTAGGACAAATGCAAATATGCATTTACCTGCTTCCTTTTTTCGATTGCAATTTGTCTCTGTAAAACAATCATTGTATTTGGGTAACATACTTCTTGAAAGGTTCCAAATATTCAACATTTGTCAAACAAAATCAAATAATGTTGCATTATAAAAATGAATTCACGAATAAACCAAAGTAATAAACTTGTTAAGCATTAGCTGTATTTACAAAGGTCAGAGACATATAATACTGGTATAATATGTCTCTACTAAGGCATGGTCCCAAAAAATAACGAAGAATTAAATTATCAGTTAACAATTATTATTGTATCTCAAATATTTTGTTTCTTCTAAATCCTGGAATTCGATGTTCTATGCCAATTATTTAATGAAAGCTTAAGTGAAAATGGTTCAAGTTAACTCGTTACGTTTATTGCACAAATAGCCAAGTGCGACTTCAGAAAATCAATTGCAGCTTTTTGCATAGTTAATTACTGTTTAATACTTCGGAAAACAATGTTTTTTTAGACTAATACAATAATTCGGGTCTAAAAAATACAAAAACAACCCATCAATTCCTTTTTCCTAATGAGGTTTTACACATAACTTGTAAATGCAATATTTGTATGTCAATCACTTAACACGAAAGCAAATTTATTGCAAAATACCGACCTATTATATAGTTATTTGCTGGAATATACATTTCTCTAATTTTCCATTTTCATAGACCAGGCCTATATGATTTCATTAGTTGAACATTTATTTAAAATAAAAGCCAAAAAAGCCCATATTTGGTACTAAGTCACCATACATGATCCTATATATACCTTAACATGACTAAGGTACACGGTGTTCAGAGAATATGACGAGCCACCAAGGCAACATATATTGAAAATTGGCATATTGCTGTTCCCTTTTTGCTGTAACAATTTGTTTATATTTTATAGTTTTTGTTCAAAATGCCAAAAATGGATAAAATCGCCATTTTAGGGAAATAGATCCTATGTGTTGACATTTTTGGTTATGTTAATTTATTCATAGATCTTGTCTTTCTGGTATTTTTTGCTGTTTACAGTTTTTCAATATCTGCTATATATTGTTTGACAAAAAAATCAACTAGAGGATTTTAAGAGCCTGTGTTGCTCACCCAGGTCTATGTGAATCTTCAACAATTAAGACTTTCCAACATTGTAGACTATAATACCATTCATCACTAAAACCACTCATTAAACCTCTTATTTTGTGATCTTGTATTGATGATCGTTTTCCTGTTAACAGTATCTCTTCATCTTCTATATTTTTTGCCCAAAACACAAAAAGTCTATTTCATCTATGCTTACTTATTTGAAGATATTGCCAACGATTTCAGGAATATTGACTTATCTATAGAAATAGACTAGTGGATCATTTTTGCTTTTTCAAGTTTCTCGCTATCTATTATAGTTTCAAAATGATAGGCAATAACACAAAACATTGGTAATAAAAAAATCGTCATTCAGTAGTAAGGGCAATATCTCCTATGAGGAGTCAACGGACAATTTTGGCATTATGTGACTTATTTGCTGATTATCTATTATTTTTAAAGTTTCTCTCGATCTACTATACTTTCAAGTTAATAGGCAAAAATACAAAAAAAATTGTAAAAAATCTTTGTTATAGGACAATAACTCCTGTCTATTTCAGTTATCTGTAAATCATTGCAAGGCAATAACTGCTAAAAGTCGATTGACAGTTTTGATGTAATAACAATTTCAGCTGTTTGAACCATTTGTTTGTCTAGATCTGGTGATATTTGCTGTTTACAGCATTTCAACATATTCTCTAGTTTTTGTTGAAAATGCAAAAATGGATAAAAACATCATTAAAGGGCAAAGTTTCCTGAAAGAAGTCGCCCGACAATGAAGGCTATGTTGACTGGTTTATAGATCGTGTGTTGCTGATGGTTTTTGCTATATAAAATTTCTTTATCTGTAATAGTTTTCAAGTTAATTGACAATGGCATTTTACCCCTATGTTCTATTTTTAGCCGTTTGGCCATGTTGATTGACCGGCAGTATCAAAGGACAATTTTTTTTAACAAGACACTCCAAGGATGATTGGGGCCAACTGCTGCTGTTTAAAGTTTCTATTTATCTATTATAGTTTTCAAGATAATAAGCAAAAATGGATAAAAATCACCAATTAAGGGCAATACCTTGTATAAACAGCCAGTCAACGATTTCAGCAATATTGACTTATTTGCAGGTCTTGTCTTGTGGATTATTTTTTTGCATTTTAAGCTTCTCTCTCTATATTATAGATTACAATAAGAGGCAATAATGCATCCTCATCTAAGGGCAATAACTCCTATAAGGAGTCAACTGACAATTTCGGCCATGTTGACTTATTTGGAGATCTTGATTTGCAGATAATTTTTGTCTATTAAAGCTTCCCTCTATCTATTATAGTTTTTAGAATAATAGGTTAAACACAAAATAATTAAATTTGTCATTTAAGAGCAATAACTCCTGTAAGAAGTGGTCTGACAGTTATGACTAAAATGGACATTTGATAAATCTCATTACTTTGAACATTTCTGCCCACTGTCAGATTTTCTCTATCTGTAGCAGTTTTCAAGATAATAGAATAAACTTTTTACCCCTACGTTCTCTTTTTAGCTATGTTGGCCTTGTTGGTTGACAGGCAAGCATCATCATTGGACACATTTTTCCAAAAAACTAGATGCCCTAATGATGATTGTGGCAAAGTTTGGTTTCAATTGGTCCAGTAGTTTCAGTGGAGAAGATTTTTGTTAAAATTAACAGACGATGATAATGGACACCAAGTAATCCGAAAATTTAGCTCACTAGACCTTCGGGTCAGGTGAGCTAAAAACAAAACCCGAGGAAATAGCATGAAATACAAACAAGAGAGACTGGGTAATCACAGCACCCTGAAATGGAAGGTTTCATCATCCTTTCAAAGTCTCATTATATATTTTATGTAGTTCATATCTTAATGATTTCATGGTTAAAAGATTTATTTTGATGTCATATGTGTTTCATATTAAATAAACTTGAACCCTCTTTTAAAACGGTAATAGTTTACTTTAGGGAAAGAACTTATCAACTAGTTTAACCACTCTTCATGTTATTTAGGAACATTGTCAATGGTTTTCGTTAATCATATCTTCTGTGTTTTAACCTTTAAACCTGATTGATGGCAACTCTATTGTAGTCTATGTTTAATATATTTACTACTATAAAGAGCTTAATAAATGGTTTAAAAACTTCTTTTTTTGTAAAAGACAGTATAATGACCTTGAAATGTCTTTTGAGTTTTTTTTTATGATGTTGATTTTTGTCTCAATGACATACAACCCTTATATATCTTTATTTCTACTGAACCACAACTAGGAATGACCAATAGTAGCATTGATCAAAACACTACATGCTAGCTTATTATTACAAAGATGTCAAATGTAGGTCATTAATCAATAGAAGTAAAAATCCACAATGAAATTACATAAACTGTTGACACAGAGATAATCTTCCCTTTATGTGATTTTGATACTATGAAGCAAATATTGAAATACAATGGCAATACTTTAACATGCACACTTAACAAAACATTCAGTCAATGAATAATGACTAAAGGTGCAGGGCCAAACAAACTCTGCTAAATTCAAAATTCCAAGGCTAATACAACTGTATCCAATACAATTGACTTAACATGCAAACTATGCAAAACTTCAAAGTCAACATGCAAATACTCATACAACTGCATACAAAGTATCATTGCATTACCATTAGTGGATTATATAAAACAGACCTAATCACAAACAATGCAAAAGTTTCAAAGTCAATAGACCATGACTGAGGGGGTGGGACCAAATTATATACTTTCCATGGAAATGAGATGTGTACTGCATACTAAATATACAATTGACCTACCACTAGTGGTTCCCCTTACACTGACATAATCACAAACTAAAACATTGTTGACCCTGCCGCCAGAAACTCCTACACTGCTTTGACAAAAAAAACGCAACAAATTAATTAGAATATTATAATGATTAAGTAACTACTAATCAATGTTATAAAAATTTATTAAATATTTTATTATCATTTTGTTGCTAATTTGATTAAATTAATATCAGATTTTCTTTGATTTTTCTCAATCTTTTCACATATTCTTCTGAATTCATCCCCACTTAAAGCTAGCTTAGACTTGCTCTGAGCTAAAAGTTTTCTCTTTGCAAAATTTTGGCGAACATTTTCAAAAAGAAGTTTTCCTTTACTATCGTGTTCTTCAGTCATCTCTATATCCTCAGTTTGTTGGCTGAATTGATAAACTTTACTGATTTCTGAACATGTTTCATTTATTTCCTCTTGTAAGCTGTTCAGTAATTGGGTGATGTCATGTTGAAGCTGACTGGTTGGTATAATTAAAACATCATCAGGAAGCAATGAATATAAATGATGTAGTACCAAGTACAGTTGATCTTCACAGCTAAAACAGAAAAAAGTCCATCAAAATAAATTTAGGATTAAAAGAAGACCTCAAAGACTAATAAACCTAATTCCCTTAAAAGATGCAGATGGAAACCTCACAACATACTTCCGATCAAAGTAAAAAAGAAGGTGCAAATGCCAGAAGCTTCTTAGGTGGTTCAATTGATTTAATCTGTTATAAGTAGAAGGTCCAATCCAATTGCACCAAGAAAGGAATATGAACTTTGAATCAGGAAAAGATTTCTAAGAGAATAAAACAGCACACATTAGACTTGATATTCAATGACTGATTATAACATTCAGAAGAATTGTAGACAGAGGATAACAAATGAATAAATAACATCTTAATTGAATTGTACTCAAAAGCTAGCCTAATTATCAGCATGAATATCAAGTGAGCCCTCTAAGGTGAGCTGATATTCGAGCTGATGAAGTCAGTATCAAAAAATAAAATGCCATTATTTTTTTATCTGCAATTTGTCCTAACAATATGTTTTTTGGGTTGAAATTATCAAATAAAAAGAATTAGTAAGTAAAACTACTTTTACTAGTACAAAACGTTGTGATAGTGGTTCGGTTGTATAAATGATATTGCATGCATTTTATTGATAAATTGATGCGGATGGACATAAATGTACAACGTTGCTGCACGGATATGTAAGGTCATTGCCTAATATTTTTGAGTGTCACTTCCTGGATCAAAGAAAAAATGTACAAATTGCCAATAAAACTAGAGGCTCTAAAGAGCCTGTGTCGATCACCATGGTCTATGTGCATATTCAACAAAGGACACTCTCCAACATTGTAGACAAGAATAGAATTCATGACAAAAATCTCTGTTTTGTTGATCTTGTATAGCTGATCATTTAGTCTGTTTAGTTTCTCTCTATATTCTTTAATTTTTGCTCAAAACACAAAAGAGGGTGAAAAAAAATCCTCATTTAAGTCTACTAACCATATTGGCAAATTTGACTTGTGAGTAGATCTTGCCTTGCTGATCATTTTTGTGATTTAAAGTGTCTATTTATCTATTATAATTTTTATCAAATAAGGCAAAAAAAAATGGTAAAAATCGTCATTAAAGGGCAATAACTACAATAAGGAGTCGTCAGATGATTTCCTCCATATCAAATTAATTGTAGATCTTTTCTTTCTGGTCATTTTTGCTTATTTAAGTTTCTATCTATCTACCATTATTGTTAAGATATAAGGCAAAAACACAAAATATTGGTAAAAATCGTCATCAAAGGGCAATAACTCTAATAAGGAGTCGACTGACAATTTCCACCATGAGACTTTTTTGTGGAACTTTTCTTGCTGATCACTTTTGCAATTTAAAGTCTCTGGTATCTATTATAGTTTTCAAGATAAAAGGCTGAAATAAAAAATAAAGGTAAAGTTTGTCATTTCTGGGAAATAACTCCTATTAAAAGTTGTCTGACAGTTTTGGCGTATATGGAAAATTGGTAGAGCTCAACATTGTGAGCATTTTTGCTGCTGACTGATTTTCTCTATTTATAACGGTTTTCAAAATAATAGACAAAACTTGCATTTTGCCCCTATGTTCTATTTTTAGCAATGTCGGCGATCTTGGTTGGCAGACAAGGTCATCGGACACATTTTTTAAACTATATACCCCAATGATGATTGAGGCCAAGTTTGATTTAATTTGGCCCAGTTGTTTCAGAGGAGAAGATTTTTGTAAAAGTTAACGACGACTACGACGACAGACGCCAAGTGATGAGAAAAGCTCACGTGGCCTTACTACCTGACTATATCTATCACTGATCATTCATTATATAAGGTAAAAATAATGACCTAGGCTTTTTGTTGAACAAAGTTGATTATATACTTGTTTGACAATTCAAGGCAAACATTATGACCTAAGCTTTTAGTGGAACAAAGCTGATTGTATACTACGTTTACAGAATAGATTTCTGAATGTTAATCTTTTATGTCCTGTAGCATGCGGTTTAACCAACATAATTAAAAAAATTCCTAACATAGTTTTAAATAACACTATTAGTTTTAAATGTTGTTAAAACATGATATTAAAAGAAGCCTTAAATTAATTTTAAATATCTTGACATTTTCTAATCTTCTTTAAATACAAAACTGAAAGGATATGATTTGACTATCTGAATGAAGCCGCCAGTGACCACATTGGTGAATCAATGGGTCTTTAACTGTAAATAGACGACAACAATGATCATTAAATGTAATATAAATAGCCAGTATATAAAGATTTCTGTAAACCTCCGGAACAAATACACAGCTTCATTTAAGGCTATTAAAATCAATTTAAATCTCACTATTTATTTTAGAAAAAAGGCTTGACACGATAATTTACAGGTGACCAAAATGTACAACAAAAGATATGAAATTAACTAATCGTGTTGAGAAAGGACAGAAACTGAGATAATTATAGAATGTGTAAATAAGAGAAACTGCCAATAGGATGAATGACAAGTCTTGTTTGCTCAAGTTCTAATCAGAAGTAACTGAGTAAGCTCAACAGAAGTTTCAACTTTCACACATATTTAATTATAACCATGATAACTGAAAACATTTCAGACAGTAAAAAATATGAGTAAAACAAGACGTGGCTAGGCATCAAAGAGACAACAACCCAATGACACACATAACCCAAATACACTTAGAGGTCAGCATAATCAGATGTCTATACAATGTGCCAAGCTCTAAATTGTCCTGACCTAGACTGTATGACATTTTTTCATCTAAGTTTATATAGAACATATTGTAACATAAATCTTTCAAGCCAATTATTGATAAGCATAACCATCAATATAATTTTTTACCATATATATAATGATGAAATATGTCCTAGACCCAGGAACAATAAACAACTCTTAATCTCTTTTAAGTGCACTGCCTTTCATTATGTATTAATTTCTAGAAAAAGGAACACCATGCCCCACTCACACTGACATATCTCCAAGTTCAATAGCAGCCCTTTTATCCCAATAACAAAATTAGTGACCTGAAGCTAAAGCCGTAAGTCAAATATGGAAGTCTCAAGACAATATTAGGACCAATATGGAAAATGCCTTATAATAATCCATAGATCTTAATGCTAGGTGTAAGACTGTAATGTAAATAAAGTCCAGTTCTATCATTTTATTGAAAATCTTCTAAAAAAGTTAGCATTATTGTAAACCAAATAATTTTCGTGAGCGCTTTATTTTCGAGACTTTCGTGAGAAGAATTTGTAAAACTTGGATCTTTGCTGATTTAACTACAAAAAGTAAATTTGAAATCATGAAATGAAATCGCTGCAACGTGGGTTAAATGCTAAATAAAGTATCAGCAAAAATAAGTTGGTTTACAGTATAAGTAAATAGTTATCTATCATCCTAGAAGAAATAAAAACAATAGCTTTAAGACAAAAAAGACCCATATTAAAGGTTTTCTCCAATTATAAGCTATGCTCATCCCACATGATGCAATCGACAATAATTGTTATTACTACGTTACTAATTAAATAAGATCCAAAATAAACTCAAATACAGACCAATTCCAGTACGTCATGCAGTGCTATTAATTTACAGTGTTGTTGTTTCTGATATATCCTCAATACTTAGACATTTTTGCACTGTTTTCCTTTGATTACGGGAGTGTAAGTGTGATCTAATCAATAAACAGAAAAATTTTCATGGCAAAACAATAAGGTTAAAGGACCATGCTTTTATTTTTGTCTTAGGGAGACAGGAAATTTGTGTAACTTTCCAGCTGATGGCATAACTTTATGTTCAGAGTTTTTTTTCTCCCATTAAAAGCACATTTAAGATTACGTCTAATGAAGCCAACAAGGACCTTTTACGGTCACATATTCTCAAATAAAAGCAAAAAGACGATTTACTACTTAGAAGTCGATGATAAATAAATGAAACAGAATTAATTAGAAGATTTAAAATTAAGGTGTTGATGACCTGATTGACATAAAAAGTTGTCTAAAAAGAAACAGCTACATGTATTTCACACCACAAACATCAGCTTCTGGTGAGAAAAATAGAATTTAAAAATGGGTATGATTGCAAATGAGACAACTATCCAACAAACTTAAAATTAAGCATTATAGGCCACCGTAGTCATCAAAATTGACAAAAACCTATACTGTATACTGTTAACCAACTAATTTTCGCGACTTTCGCGAGTAGAAAATTAACTCTAATATAAATCTTTGCGAAAACATAAAACTTGGATCTTTTCTTATTTAACTACATCAAATTTAATCGAAAATCGCAAAATTAAATTGCCTCAAAGTTGTCTAGAAATGGCTTAATGCGAAATAAAGTATCCGAGAAAATAAATTGGTTTACAGTAGTCTGCTATAAAGGCCCTGACATAAGAATGCTTTTGCCTTTTCTTTCTACTAGATTTGTTTTGAAGATACCAAAGAAGAAACAACAGATAAAGCCTTTCTTCAAATACTTTCATAGGTAGTCCTATAACCCACACTATTATACAGGAATTATAAACATATCAAATAAAAGTCCATTATTGCAGAAAAAAATAAAAATATAAAAAAAAACTGCCATTTGAGGATTATCTTATTTCTATCTTTTGATACATGTCAAGTTAAATACTTTTATTAACATATTTAAGTACTGTGGATTCATTCTTATTTGTGGGATACCAATTATCATGGATTTGTGGGTGAAGGTGAACCACTAGTTTAAATATTCAACTAAGAACAATTTTTCTTTAGGCTTGATTGCAGACTTTTGCAAAACCATGAAATCAAATATCCACGAAAATAATTTTATTTCTCATGAAAATTGGAACCCACGTAAATAAATGAATTCACAGTATCAAACATTCACTTTTACACAGGGCTTAAAAATACCATTAAAAATTTATAATTTGTGCTACTGATATAATTCTTTGTGTGTTGTTATTTTTTTTCAGCACCTCTTCTAAAGTTAGGATTCAACATGTATTGTCTGTTATTGTTTGGGAGACATGCTGACATGGAATATCATGTAATCAATTACAGACAATAGAAAATTGTTCAATCCTACTAAAAGTACAATCTTCATATGCTAGTATTAAAGTAACTTTTAATGGTATATTTAAATGTGGTGTAGCCACTTCTTCCTACCTGGTATATACAGTTAACTTTAGCTCCTTCTCATCACAAACATCATCTATAAATAATCGTACATCTTCCAATGGCTGAATATTATCAAATACCATACATTCATATTTTTCCAGTGAGACTAAACCAGCCTTCTTCTGAAGTCTTGATTGGAGCTGAGACAAGGGAAATCTTGTTGATCTTACACTAAGAGGTGTACAAACTTGGACAGAATTCAAGGAAAGTATATCTCTCTGGATCTCTGCAAAGTAAAACATAGATTAAATAAATAATTCTTTCATGTCATGCTCTATGCTTATTTTATAAACAAGTGTAGTATGCATTACCTTTATAACAATCATTAGCAAGTTGCAAGATTTTTACAAATATAATGCCTACCCCTATTAAAATGAGCAAAGAAAATTATTTTGATTCTAATATAAAAATTAAAAACTTTTTTTTTTGATGTCAACCTAGAAAACAGCAGCTATTTAGATTTGCTGAAGCAAAAAAAAATCATTAACAATTTTCACATTTTAAAGTAAGTTAAAACATACAATCTTACTTTCTTAAAGATTTTATTGACTTTCATAGTGGGTAACTCCCATAGAAATGTAAATTTTGGTCTCCCGCATTGTTCAAAAACAACTGACAATTACAAATTCAAATGTTCACTTTAATTATGTATTGTTTTAGTGTGATAGTAAATCCTAACAATTAAACAACTTTTTCATTAAATCCAAATATCTTTTTTAGTATGACCTTACCTGTAAAGGATTCTGTTTCAGAATTATCCTGATAAAAGTTTTGCTTTGCTGAAACTGTATATTTTCCTTGCAACATGTCTAAGGATGATAGAGTTACCTCCCCTGCATAAACAACTTTATTATTCCTTTGTTCACCATGACTATCACTGTTAGTCATATTGATAAACATTTCATACATAATATCACTCTTTAATCTAAAACTTGGTATACTGGTTATACACAGAATAGTGACTGACTGGCCTGATTTAACCTTGAAACATTCTGTGCCATTGAAATTGGAAAGGGATGCAGATGAAACTCTTCTTCTTTTAGATACATCATGACATGAATAATATCTTGATGTCTTCCAAAGGTCATAACATTCTGAGGTGAAGGTCAGTCCTTGACTATCATAACAATCAGGTTGCACCATAGTCATGGTAACATAGGCAAAATCACTAAAATATAATAACTGACATGTAGACATATAATAAATTTAATGAGTTGTAGTTTATTGGAGTTTTAGAACACTTCATAATTACTTGAATAATAAATTTAAATACATCTTAAACTGCAGTTGAATGCAGTATTAGGCGATTTTTGTATCTGTTTAAGCATAATACTATTAGTGTAAACTGTGTTTTTCCATGTTACAACAACAACATGGAAAATTGAATGACTACTATATCAGGGAAAATAAGATACTGTCAATCCTATATCAAACACACTTCTTAAACTTACGATTTTGTCTGTAAATAGTAAAGCTGAGTCAGATATTATTTATATAAAGTTCAGATTTATTAATTTTAGAGCTTAACATGTAACCAAGACTTATTTTTTGTGTTTTTTTCCCCTTTGATTCTTATTTCCAAATTAATGAAATTAGGGAAAATAAACCTGCACATAAAAATATATTACACTTCACATAAAGTAAAAACAATATCAAAATGACCTTTTTGATGAGTTGACAACTTCAGCACCTATAACTAAAGTTTTCTGCACTATTCTCTTCCATACAGCAGGTACTTTAATAATTGCTGAGAATTCTTCCTTCTTTGGTTGTGTGAAAATTTCAGAACAATTCTCAGTTCCAATTAAACTGATCAACATTGAAGTCTGAAATAAAAATAAAGTTGTTGTCTTTGTTTTATTTTATGTTTTTCCTTTTTTGAAGAATTTGGTGTTGGTGGCAGATCTTTGATAGTTGTTCTGGACCATATGAGTATTTGAACCATACCAGTATTTGGACCATATGAGTATTTGAACCATATGAGTATTTGGACCATACGAGTATTTGGACCATACGAGTATTTGAACCATACGAGTATTTGGACCATATGAGTATTTGAACCATATGAGTATTTGGACCATATGAGTATTTGGACCATACGAGTATTTGGACCATACGAGTATTTGAACCATACGAGTATTTGGACCATATGAGTATTTGGACCATATGAGTATTTGGACCATATGAGTATTTGGACCATACGAGTATTTGGACCATATGAGTATTTAGACCATACGAGTATTTGGACCATATGAGTATTTGGACCATACACGTATGGTCATGACTATATGCTTATGGTCGGACCATATGAGTATTTGGACCATACATGTATGGTCATGACTATATGCTTATGGTCGGACCATATGAGTATTTGGACCATACATGTATGGTCATGACTATATGCTTATGGTCGGACCATATGAGTATTTGGACCATACACGTATGGTCATGACTATATGCTTATGGTTGGACCATATGAGTATTATACTCATTTGGTTATCAACGGTCTGGACGATTCGAGTATGTGGAATAAATTCTTATTTCCTTCGCAGGAACACCTAGTTCATTCTCTGAATCCAAAACGGCACAAGTTTCTAACTTATATCCTCCATCTTTTACATCTTGTCTGAATCTTACTGTATATGTTGTATTGCCTTGGCTAGAGTCCATTCAAAGCGCCTTTATGCTGTCGACTTTTCCATCCATAAGTGAAATCACAGGCGTTTTGGGCATGGACTATTGTTTTCCTTTTTCGTAATGTTTAAATCATTATTTCAGAAACAAAATGATTATACTGTTCACTATATTTCATTAATCATGTAACAATGATTACGGCCATATGATTGAATCAATCAAAATTTAATTTTTAGAAACTCTTATTTTATGGGACATCTTTTCAATGTTTATCGTGTTAATTACCCGGACCATACGCGTATGGTCCGACCATGTGAGTATATATGCATATGGTCATGACTAGTGAGATTTACTGTGTGTTTATTTATTCCACATTGGCTAGAGGTATAGTGGGAGAGTGGAGATCTCCCAAAACATGTTTAACCCTGCCGCATTTTTGCGCCAATCCAAAGTCAGGAACCTCTAGCCTTTGTAAGTGTGGTGTGTTTTTTTAATTTTGGTTCATTTGTATGTTTACGAGTTTAGTGTGGCGTTTATTTTGCTGAACTAGTATACATTATTGTTTGGGGGCAAGTTGAAGGCCCATTGGTTACCTTGGGCTGTTTTCTGCTCTTCGGTCAGGTTGTTATCTCTTTGAAACATTCCCCATATCCATTCTCTATTCTACTACACATATATTTTTATTTATATTTCAAGGATAATGAAATTCCATTTTTCTTTTATTACTTCTGAAAAAAGGAACAAGAGTGCACACGCTGAAATGTCTTGCCTGCTTTACTGACCATTGATTTTATGTTGATAGACCTAAATATAAAGTTTACAACAAGTATCACAAAAACTTAACATGATCAGAGAAAATTAGGTCAAATTCAGATAAACCAAGCCAGAAATACATGTACACCTTGCAATCTTTCTTATTGCTTATAGTATACAAGAAACAGACCAAACCATGAAAACTTTATATTAACCAATGAACCATGGAAATGAGGTCAAGGTTAGATTAAACCTGCCAGACAGACATGTACACCTTACAATCATTCCATTCTTTCAATATAGTTGACCTATTGCATATAATATCTAAGAAACTAACTTAACCAGGAAAACTTATCATTGACCACTGAACCAAAGTTAGATGATAACTGCCAGACAGACATATATGCACCTTACAATCATTCAATATACCAAATATAGTTGAACTATTGCTTATATTTTAAGAAAAACAGACCAAAACACAAAAACTTAACATTGAGCAATGAACCTGAAAATTAGGTAAAGGTCAAATAAAGCCTGCCAGACTAACATGTACATCGTAAAATATTTCCATACACCAAATATAGTTGACCTATTGCATACAGAATTAAAAAAGCAGACTTAAACACAAAAACTTAAACTTTAACCACTGAACTATGAAAATGAGGTCAGGTCAGATGACACCTGCCAATAAGACATGTTAACCTTACAATCATTTCATACACCAAATATAGTAGACCTATTGCTTATAGTATCTGAGAAATGGACTTGACCATGTAAAATGAACCTTGTTCACTGATCCATGAAATGAGGTTGAGGTCAAGTGAAAACTGTCTGACAGGCATGAGGACCTTGCAAGGTATGCATATACCAAATAGAGTTATTCTATTACTCATAATAAGAGAGAAATTAACATTACAAAAATTCATTTTTTTTTTTCAAGTAGTCACTGAACCATGAAAATGAGGTCAAGGACAATGGACATATGACAGATGGAAACTTCATAACATTAGGTATCTATATACAAAGTATGAAGCATCCAGGTTTTCTAACTTTTGAAATATTAAGCTTTAAAGAAGTTAACACCGCTGTTGCCGCTGGATCACTATTCTTATGCCTCAGGAGTCGCAGGCCAGACAAAAATTGGGTTGGAGGATCCGCAAACCAACTCACCTTATCAATGATTTGTACTTGTAAAAGCATTTGCAGAAGCCATAGGTTTTTATTGGTATAAAATAGTAAAAATCCATGCATTGATATTAGAATGTAATGTAATGAAAGAAAGATAAATCTTGTTTTTTAAGTCAAAACAGTTGAATTTTCTATTGTAAATAGATAGGATGGTAACATTTAAACTAAAGAAGGAGATAATTAATACTGACCATGTCATTTCACATACTCTTTGCATGATACATTGTTTGATAGTTGTTGTATAAAGAGCGTCTGATACAATTTATAAAGGAAAGTTTTCTATTTTGATTTTGTAGAAAAACAAGTAAAAAAGTACTGTGAACTAATTTTTCTTTTAATTTTCTAAATTCATTTTAAAAACAATTCTGTCAATAAGTTTTCTGTCTATTCACATAATGCTTTTCCTTTGTATTATTTTTCCCTTATAAATTGTGTCTTTTTTTCCCCAAATTATAATTTTACATCAATTTCAGTCACCTAAATTTGTTATCATATTTTGGAGAAAGCATGATATAAACTAGTTTTGGCAAAGAATGGAAAATTTGTCATTTTATATTTATTGCCTCACACTATATGTACCTTAAAAGCTAAATTCTGTAGGAACCAACAGCTTACATCAAAATGATTGTATTTGTTTTTCATATTAATGAAGTACTGTGATATATATATAGAGAGAGAGATTCTACCACACAAACCAGTTGATTACAATATTTATCCACTTAAGATACTGTAAAGGGGCACCCAATATGGGTTTTGCTCATTGTTGAAGGCCCTACAGCGACCTATAGTTCTTAACTTCTATGTCAATTGGTCCCTGGGGTAGAGATGTCTTATTGGCAATAATACCACATCTTATTTTTATACATGTATACAGTTTGGACAAAAAATCAAAATATGATTTTTGTTTGTTTCAAACATTTTTAAATGCAGAATATTGAAATAATATTTAGCTATTAGCAGTCAGTTTGGTTCAATTTTGTCGAAATCTGTTACAGAGTTAAGTGGTATAATCTAATGGATAATGCCCATTACTATCTTCCTAATGGATATGGAGGAAAATTACATGACACAATTTAATCACATGTGGTTCATTAAAATTGATTAAACTGGTCGGAACACTGTATAAACATGATAAATGCTTACAGAATTTATAAGGGAATATATAGTATTGGCTTGAAATATATTTACCACAATTGTGAAGAAAATGGTAATTTTTCCAAGTAATGAATAGGTCTCTAACACCTGAACAAAATTGCTATGCAACCAACAATTAATCAAGTTGAAACACCAATGAACCTTGTTATTAGATGTCCAGTATTGATTTTGATGAGCAATGAAGTTGAAATTGAAACTGCCATTCAAGGAGAGTTGTTTTAATGATCTAAAAAACAATAATTACATTTGTAGAACCAGAAGTTTTTCCCTGGTTCAATAATTCTGTACTCTTCCACAACTCTGTGATGTGGGTTCTTCTTTCGTCAATCTCTGACTGCAGCTCATTCAATGATACCACTTCATTCTGTAACAAAAATATGTTAATTAAACTGAATGTCAGGAATGCGGTCAATTATAACATTAGTATGTTTATAATAAACAATTTCTCTGTCTATGAAAGGATAACTCCACTGAAAGTTCATATCAAATTTTTCCAATTATGCATTGAATTTGACATAAGTGATCCATTATCATCCTAGAAATGCTTGTGTATGCAGACCTGCCTTGTAAATACAGACATAAGGGGATCCATTATCATCATGGAAATGCATGTGTATGCAGACCTGCCTTGTAAATACAGACATAAGTGATCCACTATCATCATGAAAATGCTTGTGTATGCAGACCTGCCTTGTAAATACAGCCATAAGTAATCCATTATCATCATGGAAATGCTTGTGTATGCAGACCTGCCTTGTAAATACAGACATAAGTGATCCATTATCATCCTGGAGATGCTTGTGTATGCAGACCTGCCTTGTAAATACAGACATAAGTGATCCATTATCATCATGGAAATGCTTGTGTATGCAGACCTGCCTTGTAAATACAGACATAAGTGACCCATTATCATCCTGGAAATGCTTGTGTATGCAGACCTGCCTTGTACATGTAAATACAGACATAAGGGGATCCATTATCATCATGGAAATGCTTGTGTATGCAGACCTGCCTTGTAAATACAGACATAAGTGACCCATTATCATCCTGGAAATGCTTGTGTATGCAGACCTGCCTTGTAAATACAGACATAAGGGGATCCAGATCAAATAATACAATCTTCAAATGTAGAAGGCATGTTAATATAAAGAATTAGAACTGTGGCTTCTCACAACATCATATATAAAAAGATCAATAAAATTTATGGCATCAATATTTTTCTATTGTGTTTATCATGCTTATAACCCAGTTAGCGACCATTATCTCTGAGATTAATGCTTGTTTACCCTTAGTCTTGACTGTAATGCAAATAATGCTGCTGAAGTGCTGGTCTTTTTCTGTTCTGTTTTCTTTCCTTCTTCTAAAGGTTCTGCAGTGGTATCTTCATGAACTATATTTAAATCAGTCAAAATAAATCCTTTTTCACCATCAAACTCCTTCTTTAATATCAGCAACTGTTGTCCTCCATTATCAACAAAACCATCAAACAGGACCTGCTTAACATCAGACCATGTATGAGTGATCTGAAAATGAACATTTGATCTGGAATAATTACAAATGACCATACAGCAATGCTTTAAATAGCCTTTATTTTCACAAGTCCATTTTTGGACAACATGCATACATGTACACAATGATTCTTAAAAGTTATATATATTTAAGGAAAGATTGGAAACATGTGTACTGCAGTACATGTTGTAAAGAAATATAGATCATTATAAAGATACATGGATAAATTTGTTGAGAAGCATTAGTAGATATGACATGCATGACAAGTATTAAAACCTTGAAAAGAAAATTAAAATCTGACAAATTTTCTTTAACATACAAGTAAATATTTCAAAAATTTTCAAATCATTAAAATTAATACTTGTATTTATATATGTATAACCCCTGACCAACTAACAAAGAAATCGATCGAATTATAGAAGATACAAGATAAACTTGAGTTTAGCAAGCTGTGCTTGAAATACACAATTTTTAACCATTAGAAGTCAAGATAAACATACATGTTGATGATGTACATGTATCAAATGAATAAGACTTGTCTTTATGGTACATTGTCAGGATTGTCTAGACATTGTTAATATTTTACTGACATTAAATCAGGTAATCATGAACATGATGAAACATGATCATCAAAATGTAAGGTTTCTAATCTATTTTCAATCCAAAATATTCAACTTTCTATATATCATGTTTATTGTTAATACCTTTTCATCATCAATACAGATGATCTTTAAAGTTTCATTTGTGAAAACACTCAAGTAGCATCTCTTCAGAGGAACACATTCAAGTAAGTCAAGCGTAAGGTCAAAAGTACACTGAACACGAGTTGGTACTGCAAACAAGAGTCTTCCATTAGTGAATTTCAAGATATATCCATCATCAGTCACAGCATATGACGTACATTGGACGCTAAATTTATCTTCTAAGTAACTTATCACAGAGTTTTGAATAAGAACTTTGCAAATGTTTGTGTATAAAGATGGGAGAACCTGTGAAATTTCAATTTTTGTTGTCTTAGGCAAGGAACTGTTGGACTGAGATGGAGAGAAAATAAGACCAAATAATTGTTTTGAGCTGTAAGATTTCTTTGTGTGTGTCCCAATAATCAAATAGTGTTCTATGTAATATTTTACCCACAATAAATGTGATTCCCCTAAATCTGGTTCAATGTCATGTTTTAATAAACAACTTGGGCTTTGCTTTGACTGTATGCCAATGTTTAATGAGCCTTGGGAATTCCAGATCACTGTAGGTCCATCTACTGTTTGGAAATCACAGATTTTTTGTCTCAGCTGTAGTTTTCTAAGAGGAATAAATTTGGAGTTGGTGAATGAATATCCAAGAAAATAATAGTCGAAGGCTTTACCACTTGACTTTTCAATCAGTAACAGAGGTATTACAGTGTCTGTCAATATTTCTAAACATGATGTGAAGGAAATACCACACGAATTAGGGCAAGAAAATTCCACTACTCGACTATTCGTAAAAGAACATTTGCCACAGTCATATGATTTTTCATGAAGTGTAAACTTTGAATTTTGCTTGTGTTCTTCATTCTGAATGATGTGAAGAATTTTTCCATTTCCATTGTGATGAATATCCATGGGAAACTTTCTTGCTCAAAGTGAAACTAGACATTAGCCATTTGTCAATAAATATTCCGCGAAAAATTTATCCAATGAAAATTGACAATAGATTAGACAAGCTCGTACCAATTCAACTCGTACCTAGTTTTTTGTGACTTTCTCCTTTGCGTAATAGCATTGTAGTTAAACAAGGACCAACATATGAGAAATCATATGAGGGCCTGAAAGAGAAAAAATTGCAGTATAGTGGGTAAACAAATGTAAGAGTAGAGAAAAAAGGCAAAAAATAAAGAATATAGAAAATAATGGGGTTCTGGAAATATAAAGAATAATGAAAAATAAAGAATACGGTATTCCATTGACATCATCCGTCGATATATTGGTTGCCAAAAAAAACACACGTATTTTCGACTTTAGTCATATACTTATTTTTATGTTTTTTTTCAATATTATAATTTTTCCGTAATTTTAAATAAAAACAAACTATTTTTTCACTCCTCTTCCGAAACAATTTATTTTTGTTTTTTGTTTCAAGATAGTCTTACAATTCATTTAAAAAAAAACATCCCCTTCCCACACACAATATGAATGGTCGGTGGTTGATTTTTGTAGTCACGTTATAAAGTAGTTGGCTCTGGATCTTTCTAACTGTCATTTTACACCAAAAATGGACAAAAAGCACCGTATCATATATGCACGAGTAAGCGTTTCAATGGTGGATATCTACATTTTTTTTTAGAAACCCTGCACATATTATGGAAGATTGCTATTATTGTAACCAATACATCTTTACTTTTTAAATATGTAACTAACACTGTGTGAATTTTATGTTGAACTGTCTTGTATCTTAGCGCGTTTGTTGGTTTGGTTGTAACTAAACCATTTAAAGAAGCAGGACCACGTATTTTCTGTGTATTTTTGTTTTTTTGTGGGTGTTTTTTTTTTTTGTTACTCATATAGTAAAATTTAAGAAGGTCACAAAACCTAGTGAAATTACAATATTCAAAAGTTTACATAACATACTGGAAGTATCAGGGAAGTCTTCTTTTCTCAAGGCAAAGTTAAGATATGGTATGAAAATATCAAAATGATCACTATTTTCGTTTTCTCCATATTTGTGTTACCTCCTGTGGTTGCATTTGAATAGTTTTTGAACATTCGGCTAAAAATTGAACACATTATGTTTAATAACAACTTAACTAAAAGAATAATTGGTTAAAGTAAATCAGTGACAAATATTAAAGTTTATTTAGACTGAAAATGAATCTTTGACAAAGAAATGAGGACTTAAAGTGCTCGTGAAAATCAGTATAGACCGATTTGCTCAAAAGCTAAGTTGTCAAAAAAATTGATAAATGTTTGGAGATTTTTATCATGTTTTAGGACTACAAGGTAAACTCTGAAAATTAGTTTATGTAAAAGAGAGGGGAAAAATACCAAAGGGATATTCAAACACACAATCGAAAATAAGCTGACATGTGCAACGGCATGCAAAAAAACGAAAAATACCAAAATACAAACAACAGTATACAAAACACGAGATATAAAACCAAAGAATAACACGAACTCCACCAAAAACGGGGGATGATCTCATGTACTCCAGAAGGATAGTAGATATGGATCCACATGCGGTACCCGTCCTGTCAAGGAAAGATCTTCAGTTTATATATGTAAATATGCAGCCAAGACTAGTATTAAAAAACCAGTTTAAAACTTCAATCGAATGTAATTTTTCGATAAAAGATGACAATAAAACAAGATACATTTGTATGTATCTATTAAAAGACTTAGTAACTTTAACAGATAATTTTAAAACAATGTATAATTGTGGTTTCAAAATAACTTTTAATCAGAGTATTTGCCAAAGTAAACAAAATCATTAACCTTTCTGCTTAATCGTTTGAAGAATAAGCTTTCTTTTGTTCAGTACTCTCACCATTTATTTCCACTGAGAGGCTGGTAGATATGTTTTTCTTTCAAAGAATGCTTCAGAGATTGTCAGCTATTAGTGATATTAAAAGCAAATATTGAAAGTACCGCACACTTCTTAATTAAATTCTTTCACTGAACAAAAGCGATGTAACAGTTGATATTGTAACAACTCTAATTTGAAACCTGCTGACATCACTCAACATTCAGGACAATATAAATTTTGTATTGGAATCTGAATACCGATGCACGATAAGCTAGAAATCTTAAAGCATCGAATACTTTTAAGCAGCGCAATTTGGTCTGGTTAATCTTCTCAATTTCTTAAATACGCCTCAGATGTTCATTTAAAGATGATCTTGATACTGATGCATTATATTGATTGATTTATTGATTGATTTGTGTTTAACGCCACTTTCAAAAATATTGTGCTATTTCGTGGTGGTCTGTTTTTATTGGTGGTGGAAGACTGATTGCCCGGTGAGAACCACTGACCTATGGTAGGAAAACTGACAATCCTAGTCAATTAAGATTGGAGTCGAGCGTACCTGCCACGTGCGGGATTCGAACTCACAACCTCAGTGTTGACAGGCTGTTGTTGGACTACTTAGACGACTCGGCCACCGAGGCCCCCTGATGCATTATATGGAGCATACACAATTTCTTAGTTTCAGGATTTTTCTGGATTATCAATTATTAAAAAGTTGAAACAGAATGCAAAAAAATAAAGTTGAATAGAACCCTAAATAATGCACATGAATCTGGGTTCTTCAATCAACACGAATTTCAAACTTTTTGTCCAGTTTACACCTGAAGCTGCTAATAACTTTTAACTTGAAAGTTTGGTGGAGTATTGGAATGAGCTAGAATTTTGTAGTTTTGTGTTATTTGCAAAGAGATATACGACAAAAGAACCATTTGTTTCCTTGTCAACATACTGTTTTTCATATTTGAATTTATGTTGAATCTTTCAAGGCTCATCGAATTGACAAAACGAACCATGTCATTCACGACAAGTGAATTGTCCTTTACATGTAAATCTTGCTTTTGGAAGTGGTAAAGATGCAATAATCAATATGTTGCTCCCAATCGTAAATGTATATAGTCCACGGAGCATGCTGCACAATTCTAGTAATTTGAAAATTGTAAGGTTTGGATTCAAATATAGATACCAACACGCACAGCGAAACCGTCTCAGGTGATTTTTGCGTGGGAGAGTCGGAAATTTAGTTTCTTAATAATTTCTAAATCTATAAACGTGGAATATAAGAAAGGCACTCATACCACACCTTCTTATATCTATGTAATAATTTCATGTCAGTGCCGAAGCTATCATCACATGTACTCATCTGATGCCCTCGGGAACTAGCAGTCCACCACCAGCAGTATCGACATTGTGCTGATCTGATGCCCTCGGGAACCAGCAGTCCACCATCAGCAGTATTGACATTGTGCTGATCTGATGCCCTCGGGAACCAGCAGTCCACCATCAGCAGTATCGACATTGTACTGATCTGATGCCCTCGGGAACCAGCAGTCCACCATCAGCAGTATCGACATTGTACTGATCTGATGCCATCGGGAACCAGCAGTCCACCATCAGCAGTATCGACATTGTACTGATCTGATGCCCTCGGGAACCAGCAGTCCACCATCAGCAGTATCGACATTGTACTGATCTGATGCCCTCGGGAACCAGCAGTCCACCATCAGCAGTATCGACATTGTACTGATCTGATGCCCTCGGGAACCAGCAGTCCACCATCAGCAGTATCGACATTGTGCTGATCTGATGCCCTCGGGAACCAGCAGTCCACCATCAGCAGTATCGACATTGTACTGATCTGATGCCCTCGGGAACCAGCAGTCCACCATCAGCAGTATCGACATTGTACTGATCTGATGCCCTCGGGAACCAGCAGTCCACCATCAGCAGTATCGACATTGTACTGATCTGATGCCCTCGGGAACCAGCAGTCAACCATCAGCAGTATCGACATTGTACTGATTTGATGCCCTCGGGAACCAGCAGTCCACCATCAGCAGTATCGACATTGTGCTGATCTGATGCCCTCGAGAACCAGTAGATCACCATCAGCAGTATCGACATTGTGCTGATCTGATGCCCTCGGGAACTAGCAGTCCACCATAAGCAGTATCGACATTGTTCTAGAAAATGAAAATAACACTTTATAAATAAATTTTCAGTTTTCCAGTTCATCATTTGTGTAATTCTACTAATGTAGGCTAAGGTGTCAGCTTCTTAAGGGAAAGTAGACCTAACACGATTTTAATGCGTTACGCTCGTACGTGTATGTTCACACTATACGGACATTATTAGCAGAGGTATGTTCCTTACATATAAACTGCTCCGATAGAGTAACAAGGATGAACAACTTAAATAGAAACTGCTCCGATAGAGTAACAAGGATGAACGACTTAAATCGAAACTGCTCCGATAGAGTAACAAAGATGAACGACTTAAACGAAACTGCTCCGACAGAGTAACAAGGATGAACGACTTATATAGAAACTGCTCCGACAGAGTAACAAGGATGAACGACTTAAATCGAAACAACACAAGATTTACGGTCACCATCACCAATTGGTTGGCTGATACGTTATGTCCGGCTTTGTCTCAACTCCCTAGCGACATGTTTTCGCGTTCTTACATTTTACTATGCCAGTATAGTCGTCTGTTCCGTAATTATACTGATTGTGTCCTATTCTCGATTGTGACCTTTTGACTTTTGTGGATTTGCATTGTGGGTGATGCATGCATAGCAGGAGACGCCTATCCTGTCTACGGACCCTCTCACGACGGCTCTTTTTGGAGTTCATGCGATTCCAATATTTGTGTTAATTGCCTTGTATTGTCTTCTTAACCGTTTCACAGATGATATCGGATATGTTCCTTATGTCGTAGCTACAATACCCTTCCCTTTTCACGAATGTGACCTACCGAATTAGACTATTTACCGGATTTGTAATAACATAAGCAACACGACCGGTGCCACATGTGGAGCAGGAGCACCTGAGATCACCACCAGTTTTTGGTGGGGTTCGTGTTGCTTAGTCTTTAGTTTTCTATGTTGTGTCATCTGTACTATTATTTGTCTGTTTGTCTTTTTATTT